TCCAAGTTCTAGCTTCATCCGCAAGTGTACCAAGTTGAGCTACATCAAAGATCAATCAAGCTTGGGTATATTTAGTTTAGGTTTTATATTATGTGCGTTAGTACTTTAAGCTCAATCATATATACACACACATATTTGGTTTTTATATATATAGTTATATATATACACAAGTTTTGGTATATGGACTTAACAATTATTGTATACATATTTCATTAAGTCTATAAAATTATTTCATAGGGTTTCAAAATATTGTTTATGTCAAAACATCAAATTTCATGTATATCACATTTTCATGTTTTGGACACACTTGCAAAATACATGAGTTTTCACAAATGAGAAACTCAATTTGAGAAATTCTTTTTCTAACATGTTCAATTTCATGTTTATAAATGTTTCCTAAAGTTTTATCAATTTTGGAATTAATTTGTTATGCTTACTTGAATTTACAAAATTAAGTTTTTAATTAGCTCATGTTCGTGCACATGTTCGTGCATGTTTTTGCAAAACTGATGCGTTTTCACAATTGGGAAATGTAATTTGAAAAATTTCTTCGTTTACATGTTTATCATCATATATACAAATATTTTCCCAAGTTTTACTATTTTTGGAGTTGTTTTGTTATTTTCAATTAAATTTACAAAACCGTATTTTTTGCAGTTTTTTTAGAAACTGTATATCTGTGTTCAAACATTTATTTCTCTCAACTGGGAAGTGATATTTCAGAAATTTCATGATTTTTAGAGTTGATTTACTATTTTTAATTAATTTTACAAAGTTAGATATGCAAAATTCCAGAATTTATCAAAAACAGAATCTGTCCATGAACAGTGCGGTCGACTGCACTGTAGCGCGGTCGACCGCCGTTACTGTAGAACCCGATCGTTGAACAGTAACGGTAACTTCTATTTTTTGATTTTTTTTAGTGGGTTTTTGAGGTTTTTTGGGTGTTTTTCTTCTTCCCTATATATACCCCTTTTTCATAACTATTTTCTACTATCAAGAGATGTTTTAAAAGAGTTTAATAAGGATTTAAGCTTGTTTTGTGTTTGTTTAAAAGAGTGTTTAAGAGTTTGTTTGTAAAGAGAATTTCACAAGAGTTTGAGGAAATCATCAATCTTGTTTGGGCTTCAATCTGCATCCATCCACTCTTGTTTTAGAGAAGTTTTCTTAAACTCTTTATCTAGCTTATTTATGCTTAACTTGTCATATTTATTTTGCTAGATTAAATTGGGTTTAGACTTGTTTTGATTTATCTCTTTGTTCACACACAACTTATTGAGCTTATCATATTTACATTCATAGTATAATTGGGTTGTGGGATTGTGTAACTTAGAGAGTGAGCTTATAATTCGTTCTCATCCTTATAGAGAACAAACACTTTGTATTGTACTTAATTGTGAGATCACTTTGTAATACACTTGTACACCGAGAGAAGTGTGTAACGAGAGTCGGGGATCATCCCAAGAGGAGTGGCGTCGGTTGACGAACCTAAGGAGAGATCGTATCCGAGAACTTGAGGGAGACACGTCTAGTTCAACACTTGAGAGGGTGTAGAGTGGGATTACAAGAGTGTGTTAGTTGTAGAGTTTTCGGTAAACTAGAAACCCGTATTGTGAGGTGTAAACGTTATTCGGGTAAACATAGAAAACCCGGTTGTGATAATGAAGATCTTCTCGAGGTGAGGAGCGGAGACGTAGGTCAAGTGGTTAGACCGAACTCCGTGATCATATCGTTTTGTTTGTGATTGTATTGGCGTTCTTATTCTTGTATCATATCTTATATCACTTTTGTGTATTGCTCATCATATTGCCATATCTCTTTTGTAGATTGTTTATTTTAACCTTGTGTTAGTTTATATATCCTTGCTCATATATTTGTAATATCTCATTGCTAGGATATATTCATTTGTTCATATTGCTTATCCTAGCTCTTTTATCTTATTGTATTTCATACTTGCTAGGATAACTTATTAATTAGTTTTAATTGGCATAAAATCGGATTAAGTGAACCAAATATTATGATATTACTTATTTTATTGTTAATTATAATGGGGGTTATAACAACATAATTAATTGATTTAATTGAGGGCTGGGAGGTTATGATAGGAATCAAATAGATTGATAGGTATTATTATTGAGTGGGGGTTAGTGGGGTTATAATGAATTTAATTACAAGAAACATAGTAAATAATATCTATAGGACTATTAATAAGAATGTGCAACTATTCATGTTGTGTGATCATAAGTAACATGAATAATTAAGTCTATCATGACTTATTATTTACCACTATTTGGTTCACTGTAAGTATCATTATGTGACAATCAATGTATACCCAAACATCATATTACAAAATATGATTATAAAGTTCATTAATATCTAAAATGTAATACAAAATAGATATATCTAACTATAATATATAATAGTTATACTATAGTTTATAAAATATAACTATAATAAAGAATAGTAATATCATAATATAAAACCTTTAATTAATGTGATTTAATAAGATTGGAGCCTTGGAGGTTATGAGAAGAATTTGAAAGAGTATAGTTTATGTATGTATGTATATGTATGAATGTGTTTGAATTGAAGGTGTATGGTTTATTATGCTAAATGTTTTATATCCTAGTATTAATGTATGTGTTTGAATTTGAAATACAGTGATACCTGAATTTCTCTATGAAAAAGTATGATATTAATCATGTAGAATAAGAAACAAATGAATAGACAAAAGTCACATGTGCAATATACGTGTAACGAATTTGCTGATTTTATACATGGTTAATGAAAGAGATTAATATGTTGATGGGAGGTTACAAATTAAAATGTAAACAACGTAGTCATGGTATAATATTATTATTTGGGGGTTATGAATATGCATTTAATTGGGGGTTATGCATGTATAGGTATGATTTATGTATGGATGCGTGTAATTTATGTATGCATGTATATGTTTTAAAAGGTATTTTCGGTAGAAATGTTTTAACATATGTATGGATGCATATATTTTATGTATGCATGTATAGGCTTTAAAGGGCATTTTTAGTAGAAATGTTTTAACTACCCATCCATTTTGATCGCCTTCAAGAAATGGAGAGCGAGGGCGACGGTTCAGAGGACGGTCACTAACGTCGGGCTTCCTGACTCGAGTTATGCGGTTGAAGTGAGCGAGCTGAAAGGAGTGAGAGTTCAGGTTACGCCGAAGGTGTTGGCGTTCAAAGAAGCGAACGAGAAGAAGAGTTACAGGGTCTAGTTCGAGTCGAGGAAGAAGAGAGCAAGAGGAGTGACCTTTGCTGAAGGGCAGATTATATGGAAGAATCTCCATCAGAAGCGGTACAAGGTGAGAAGCCTAGTGTCTGTGAGCTGGGCTGGGTAGTAATTAGTAAGGAATTCAAAGCTGGCGTCTAACTCCCAAGATTGATTTATCTTAGTACAGAGGAAATTTGCTGAAGTCAAATAGCTAGGGTGAACTTATTTATAATCGAATAATCTCATAGAGTGCGAGGATATGCGTTCATGTATTCAGTTAGACATGACTCGGAATTTTAACAATAATGTTCTTTGTTATCTATGAGTATTATATTGATATGAGACAATAAATGCTCAAGACTGCAGTCAACAGAATGAGAAAGTGACTCCTCAATAAGATTGTAAAGAGCATATAATACTGCAAACTGATACTAGAACATTGTATTTGATCTCAGGTGAGCCGTGACTCAATATTTTTCGGGTATCAAACCCAAATGTTCTGATATCAACCTCTTGTAAGCAAGAAACTGAAGACTATCAAAGTGGAATTGAGATCCTCTCCTCATGAATCTCTCCTAACATTTCCTCATAAGCCAATCATGGCCTTTCATTTCATGATCGACAGCCAAGATCTCTCCTACCCCTCCCAACCTCTCACTCTAAAAAAGTTGATCTTGACCGTCAATCATGAAATGAAAGGCTAGGATGGCTTATGAGGAAATATTAGGAGAGATTCATGAGGAGATGATCTCAATTCGTCAAAGTGTATGTAACTTCAGAAACCAAGACTGTTCAAGTACCTGTCAATGGCTTTAACAATTGACACCTCCGACATCCTCTATATGAACCTCTAATGATGTATATAAGGCAAAAATGTACTATTTTAATTAGTACTTAACTCAAATCCTATTATACACCTAACTATTCAATTTATTTCTAATTGATAACTATTCTTAAATTTGACATTAATTAATAATTTAATTAATATTAATAGGGAGTAGGAACAAAATTAGTTTTTGTTCTAATAATATAGTACGGATATATAAATAAGATAACAGTAGAGAGATGAAATATACAGAAGTGTAGAACAAAAGTTAAATTAAAATTAATGAAATATCAAGTTTATGACAAACTCTCAAAGAAGGAAAAATGAAGACGTGAAAAAATTCAGCATTTTTCCTAATAAAACTCAATACTTCTTTTTCTAACCATGCTACCCATTGAAAACCAAATTTAGTTAGTTTAAAGATATTCACATTCAAAACATCTTTGCAACCTTTGTTGGATTTTATTTATCAATTGCATAAATTAATTCCTTTACTAATTGATGAATTACACTAACAAAAGTTACTATTGTTATAATTACTATACAAAAAGTTTGTAACTTTTTGTTACAATCAATAAAAGAATTTTTTCACATCTTCATAATACGCGTTGCACGTGATGCATATTAAGAAACAACATGAGTCAAAATCCGTAATGTTTTCATAATTATGCATTGAACTTATACATAATACACAAGATGAATATCAATTAACCATTATTTTACAGGACTTAGAATATTGTCCTTAGAGAAGGAACCTAATCATCCAGATATATAATGCGCGTGATAAAAGTGACTGCACAATCAAGAAGAGGTAATTTGATCTTAACTGCAAATAACTAATATTTAGCATCACATTACAAACCAGGAAAGTATTCAATTAGCATGACGATATACATACAATGAGAGTAAAAAAGAGTCAACATGATAGCTTGCAAACATAGATTTATTGTTGAAAGCCAATAATTAAAAATAAATAATATTTCTCACATACAATAAGAAGCTAATGAATTTCTAGCAATATACAAGTTTTCTAGAACAAGCATCCATTTATGCGTACATAAGATCACATACTCGCATCACGAGCAATATAGTCTCTCAAAGAAGGCACTTAAGTTCCTGCGAACCCCAAAAAGCTATGTATTGTTTTTTGGAAGATAAAGTATAGTTGCAATAATAAGTACAAATAAAAGTGAAGCAACATTATGTAGGTCAAAGTTGTACCTCCATTTTCAAAGGTGAGGTTGTCGGTGCATATCTTTCCACAACTTTTTCATCTTTGTCCACAAAAAACTTGTTCCATTCACTTCAACCTACAAAAAATAATGAGTCAATCACATATAGTTACATGAAATTTTCTTTTAGAACAATGGGAACATAGTAAAAAAATTTGTTGTATATTTGCTAAGTGCAAGGGAGATCTATAATTAAGCCAAAATTTAAAGCTAATAATCTTATCGTTTGAAAATTAACACTGTATTTTCTTTTTCTAACCACGCTACCCATTGAAAACCAAATTTAGTTAGTTTGAAGATATTCACATTCAAAACATCTTTGCAAACTTTGTTGGATTTCATTTGAATTATCTTTCCTGGTGAAAGATAATGATATACAGACAAGAATAAATTTGTGACAATAACAGCTATCTACAAACCTAATTAGAGAGCTAAGAGCAGAAGAAAGTTTTTCTTAAAGAAATTTCTGAAGTCATGCATCCCAATAAACTTTTTATTGCCTTTACATATAGCCTAGTAATCAAAACATTACAGGAATTCATGACAGCTAATAAGGTATGTAGTAGCATACAGCAGAGGCTAATACGTACTGGTAATATTCAAAATTTCTATCTAGAAGAGGTACCTATATTCCCTGCTTAGATTGCCATTTTTGCAATGTTTTAAGAAAAGCTTAAATATGGTTAAGGAAAATTAAACATCGAAGCTTGTTTTGTCGAAAGATAATAGAAAGAACAACAAAAACCTTACACTGATGATTTGGAAATCCAAGTGCACATCATCCATTTTTTACAGTAAGTTGTGGGTCTACTACTTGCATGACTAATATTTAAAACTCAACTTGGCATGCTCGCTTGAGCAGCTTGATATTCTACCAACAAACATTGACTAACAAGCACAACAAAACAAATATACTATGTTCTTTATTTGTTACGAATAAATATCCTCATCATCTCCAAAACAAAACAAATATACCATGTTCTACTTCAACATAAGTAACATCGTTGGCCTTGTGGCTTCATTGAGGAAACTATTCGTGCTGATGCGAATAAAATTGCTTAAGTTCATTGCCTACTAATTGAAATATGCTTATAAAAGTTAGTGATCAATCTAGATATCAAGTTCAACTAAAGAAGAAAAAGCCAACTCAGCAGCGGTCTCAAATTAATTGAAAAGGTTAAGTTGGAGTTCTATTCAAGTTGGATTTCTCCTAAAATTTAATGTTCAACTGTCTCTCGCTCTAACCATGTGTTGAGGATATGGTTGCTTCCTATTGGTGTTGAATGGATGCGAACATGTGTGCTATGCAATACAGAAGTAGCAAGAAGAGATCAGTTGATTATAAATACTAATTTTCAGCATTTATATGTTTTTAAGACGACTTCCACTACACAAGTAGATATGAGACTTATAATTTTATCCAACATTCCCCTGCGGGTTGAGCATTCGTTTCATGGCTAAAGCCTAGATTCGCAGTAGTATCCTTTTTTTTAAATCCATTTTAAGTATGTGGCCGACGGGATTTGAACCAGAGTTGTCCTGATACCATGTTAAAAGTCTCTTCCCCTACACCAAAACTCTGAATGTGAGATGAGAGTTGATGGTTATGCACTTAACAATATAGCAAAGTGCCACAAATTATAAATTACAGCTCAAAGAAGATGCACCTCTCAAATTAAGAATGAGTTACTTCCCAAATTAAGTTCAAAGGTTTTACTGCTCAAAAGACACAATGGTTTTTGGGAGGCCATTTTGTTGAAATAAACAAATCATATAAAGAATGCATACACAGAAGCCTATGCCAAAGCATATGGAACTGGTATGAACTCCTCAACTACAAAAACATATCAATGATGAAAATATCTAAGTATCATCACCTTCAACCACAGGAATAGTCATTTCCCCATATCCTTTTTCTTTCGGAAATTTGCACGAACCAAAACCTGCACATTTAAGTGCAAAAAACAAATTAAGCAGCATAGTCAACGCTAAATACAAGTATCATAGAAGCAACCTTGTACCTTTTAGCTCCAAAGGCTTCGTGACTAAGCCTAGAATAGCAAAAGGGAGCATCAAAATTGACTCTCCCTAAAATGCAAAGCGTCTGTTTAGATTATTCCCAAGCTGATATTAGCAAAATAAAACAAGTTAACCAACATGCTTCCAAAACTATCAATCTGAATAATCATAAGTACAGTACACAAGCATACCTATGTTACAATTATACATACTACCAGAATATTAAAAAAAAGAAAAATATCTTAAATGCAAAGAATATTCCATTTTAAGTTTTAACACAAGAATATTTCATAACCATCACTTATTGGAACAATGTCATGTGTCCAGAGGCCTAGCTAATTATGGAAACAATTAACAAAGTATGTGAACCGATGTTCATTGATAATTCTCATGATCGACATCTAACATATCCAAAATAGTTCAAGTTGACATTATTGCAACAGGCTATGTTCAAACCTTAAAGGTAGTTCTTCATTATGATGGTGTTTAGTTTTTCTTTCTAAGAAGCACTTAACCTATGTGAATACTTATATCAAGGATATTTGATGATGTGCAACTATAACATGTTGTCCCATAGTTCCAAATCATGCTATGTAAACGAACATAATGCAATTTATAAATTAATCTGGTTATGTTCAAATCTTGGCATTCTATTATGCATTAAGATACCTAAACATTCAACCAAATTACAGGGGGCTGGACAGAAATATCATCTCCAATCAAAGGGATTTGGTTGGACATATCAAAGGCATTTGGTCGAGAATAGATATTCTGAGACACTTCAGGAAGAACGTAGCAGTAATAAACAAAAACTATCAGACTATTAAAAAATTAGAATTAGAGAAAAAAATAAATGATTGCAATCGTACCTTCCATCTTAGTATGAAGTAATACTTTCTTTGAATTTTGAATGCTAAAAAAATTTTATGGTTGTAATTTTATCATTGCAAATCATAGTATCAATTAATCTACCAAGTAGTGAATTTAAATATAGGATCGAAGGAAAAAGTAACTCAATAAAGGAGAAAGTACGCAATGAAAATACTACAACATAAGCAATGTTGTTACATCAGACCTCTTCGCAATTTGAGTACCACCACACTTTTTCCTACTAACACATATATTTATACTCAATAGGTAATTATAACAATTTGAGTACCAGTGTTTAAATTTATCAGCAAAATAGTTAGTGGACCAACTCAGTGCTTAGAAAATTGAATCTAGTCAACTGGTAATGGAAATGCTAGCATATAACTGTTGACAAATGTAAATGATGGTAAAAATGATTATTAGGTTTATAAATGGCTCTGTAGGAGAAGAGAAGCAATATTAGTGGACATGAAAATAGAGCTTCATTGGAAAGGGAGGAAATAAATAGACCTGCACACATTTCCATAATAAATACACACATCAATATGGTCAAGAACGATTCCAAAATTACTTGATTTTATTATTCAGTAGTGTCAAACTTACCGAAACACTATATTGACATTGGTTTACTTCTTGAAGATAAAAGATCAAACTAATAAAATCTATTGTCTTTACAGTTTGATAGAGGAGATACTTTTATGCTGTCTTACTCTATGTTCAATCATTCACTTAATATATCATTACGATTATAGAAATTGACATTGTCTGCTCCTTCATTCACCTTCTCTCTAAAGATGAACATTTAGTATGAAGAATGCCAAAATCATCTTAATTATTTCATTTTGGAACCATGGAAGCCAGAAAAACATAAAACAAAAACCATATAAAAGATTTTGGATTAATTATTTCAACAAAATCCAATCATGCTCATGCAAGCTCTCCACTTCATAAATGATGGAACAAAAAGTAAATTATCAAACATATAGGAACTACTTAAAAAAGTGGCATATAGTGTAGGGCTAATTAGACTTTGTTCTGGGGAGGCATCAATATATCTAGTTTACAGTCAAATTAGCAACAAAAAAAACATCTCATCAAAGATTATGATGAAGAGCACAAAATACCTTGTATACTGTGGAGATCCCAGTATCTCAATTGACATGTTTACTAAATTTCATTATTTTTTTCTCTTTTGAGAAATCAAATCTCGAAAAGAGTTGATGATCCTGAATGAAGTATTGAACATATAGACATGTATGGTGGAAGAATTTTCCTAAACCTTCAAATATGAAGAGAAATTCAGAAGGGATTTGGTGTCATCTCCTAAAGATGGAAAGTTGACCATCTGCTGCTAGGGAATGTAGAAAGCTAGAAAGGAAGGTCATGCATGTAGTAGAAACATGTTTCCTAATAATTAGACACATAGAGTACCATCTCCATAAAGGGTCTGATATCAAGTTCCTTCCCGAAGTAAAGTAGGAAGAAGCACATGGGACAAACTTGAATATATATAATTATGTAGCAAGTGAAGGAATCAAAGTAAAAAATGCCCAAATCCCCACAAAGACTCAAACAACCATGAAATAGATGTATGATGAGGCTTCAATTATAGTGTTTACTATGAATCTTCTTATATAAAATATTCATCATGTGAAATGGTCGATAGATTAGAAACATTGACAAATTTTTAAAGGTGAGAAATAAAAAGTCATCACAGTCATAAAACTACTGGAGATCAAATATAAATATGGAAATCCTCTCCCATGACTAAATATTTTTCCCTTGACTAAATATTTTTCATAAGTATGAAAATACTCTTTTCAGCCTTGATGAAAGCAACCACAAATATGACGTAATTAATATATATAGAAATGCACCATAGAAGATATGACATTTGGTACCAGTGAAAATTAGAACTTAGAAGGTTTATCAAGTAAACAATTGAAAGCTCGTCTTAAATTGATGGACAATGTCATGATAAATGATGAAAATCAAGAGCGTGTACGATGATCTTAATCCTTGTCTGATGAATTTCTACTTTCTAGAAAAAACATCATTCAGATTACAAATTTGCCCACTATATAAACATTTAAGAAAACAAAACTCCCAAATATACACATTTATTTCTTCAAAAAAAAATATACACATTTATAACTAGAAAACAAAAAGGAGAGCAATGTGTCGTAATAAAGGGAAGTTTGGTCAAAAACACAAGTGTGCTTAAAACATAGAAAGCAGGAGCATAAGCAATTTTCTAGAATAGGCATAGACACTAAAAGGCCTATTCTGGATTGAAAAAATTAAAAACATTCATAATTATTGTAGTTGTATTCTATCAACTATGTTTCAAACCAGCCCGTTTCTTATTAAAGCAAAATGAAGACGATCACAACAAATTGGAAATTATGGATAGAATTCAATGGTGCACTCAAAACCCACAAGAGTATGTTATTGTAATGTACTTTCCAATTCCAATGAAAGAAAACAGACAAATGAGAAGAAATGCGGCTCACAAAGATATCTCTGCAACATAATAGAGATCAAATAAAATTTTAATTTACCTTGATAGCTTTCTACTCCTATCAATCTCTGACCCCTGACATCAACAATCATCAATCATCAATACAAAGAGAAAGGTAAGCAAGCAACCCACAAACCGAAGAATAAGAAAAAGAATTAGAGTAAGGTAATAAGAATAACCAATACTCATACTTACAATTGGAAATAAACACCTTCTTTGCTCCATCAAAGTTGAAGCAGTATGTATTTATAGAATCACAAAATAACCTAAATTTTAGTCTTTGGGGATGGGGATGGGGATCAGAAAGCCCTAGCAGTTATTACCAATTATAGTATCGGACGAATCTTCTGAAGGAAGGACGTATACATTGTCAACGGTTGAAAACGAAAGAAATTGAAGTGAGGAGATCGATCGTCGAAATAATTTAGAGAGAGATGGGAAAGAGAGGCCGAGGAGAGAGCGGTTAAGGAGGAATATAGAGAGGGCATTGTCATTGAGAAATGAAGGAACCTAAAGCGAGGAGGCCAAACGTTGAATTAATTTAGAGACAGAGAGATGGAGAGGAGCAGGGGAGAGAGCAGAAGTTTTGACATTTGTTTTCTCTTTTAGAAGTAGTATAGTATAGATATATATATAAGATCATCCAATTACGTGATAAATATAGTGACCAATGTTCCAATTAACCCCATGTATTGATAGTATTGATTTAGTATTTAGTTAGTTTACACTTATAAATAGTTTCAACTGTATTTACTGGCTGTACTTTTGTTTTTGGCTGTGGGTATTGGATTATAGAGGTTCAGTAATGCCGTTGTCTGTATTTGTAGATGGGCCTGAAATATTAGCCTAAAGAATCTAGATGGGCCATAAAAATACTCTTAGTCCTCGATGTGAAAGTACGCAAATTCAGACTATAACGTGTGCAACCATTCAAAATGGGGCGACGTTTGATCCTAGTCCCATTTCATGGAAAATATGTTTAGATAAAACTGGATTAACTCCAACTCAGTTTTTCTAAGATCAGAATTGGTTTTTTAAATAATTTTCTTTTGGATTATTTTCCTCTTGGACCACAACAAAATTGGGTTAGTACATAACAGGATCTGGACTAGTGCTAGCCCAATTTTAGGGTGGTTGCTCAACACTCTCAATTTCTATCCCTAATCTCAAGAGGCTTAACTTAGTATTATATCACATAAATGACTTAGTGTTAATCCTTGACAAGGAGCCGACACGTGTCCCGTGATAACTAAACACCTGATCTCCCACACTCTATGTTGGACGACTCGAACGGCTTCAGCACTCGATCCTTCCCAACAAGAGCCGAGTCAAAAGGCGTTCCTACTTGGATTTCACTGTTAGCAGCAACCCCACCTTATTATTCTGCAAGGCTGGGTTGAGAACTTTCAAAGCCGAGTAAAAAGACACTACTTATCGGCCAATCACAAGACCGAAGTGAAAGACATCACTTGTCGACCCTCTCGTAGAGACGAATCGAGAGGTGAATTATCCTCAAGCCCCCCGTCAACAGTCAGTCGCCATCAAAGTTAATGCATGATTATAATCATCATTACTTAGCCCTAAAAAATTTTATGACTCATCGGACCTCATCAGCGCCACACATACCTCGTCACCGTTGCATTGAATGCTTGGATGACTCATCCCCCTCTGTAACCAACACCTATAAAGTAGCTACCGACTGAGTCGCCTAATTGGACTCGACCGAAATTATGCAACTCTTAAATTTAGCTCCTCTAATCATTACACAAAAACTCCAAAGTTATGGTGAGCATCAAGGATTATAGCTTTATATTAATTCTAACATACTCTCGCAGGTTGAGCGCCCTTTTTTATGGGTCGAAACGTGAACTCACGCAACAGTGTTATTTTTTAGAAAATCCGCTTTTAGTTCGTGGCCGGTGGAATTTGAACATGGATTGCTCTGATACAACCTTAAATTTAACTCCTCTAACCATTACACAAAAACTTCAAAGTTATAGTGAGGATCAATGATTATAGCTTTATATTAATTCTAACATCAACTATCCCTTAGGATCTACTATAAATAAAGAGATGTTGTTTGCTGCTTAGGATAAGCTAACTCTACCTAAAAACTCTAATACTTAATTCTCCTTCTTCGCCATTCAAGTTCTCTACTAACTTGATCGTCAGCAGAATTTGGAGATCCCAACTCCGACCCTCTCATATGTTATTCATGTGTAGGACTGGACTCTCTACCCAAGGACCAACTGTCTGAAAAAGGTTGAGGACCTCAACACCCTACATCATCCAGACTTAACCCTTTGTCTGATAACTGACATCAACACTTAGCATTGGAAGGATGATGTCTAATAAATACCCTTTTGTGATATTTTTTTTTAATTTTGTTCATGTAGTGTGTGAAAATTGTTGATTATTTTGTTTTTCTCACCCACCGAATTTATTGATACGTATAACTCTGATCAATATTTAGAAGGTGGTGCGGCCAAACTCCACACTATAAATTAATTTGCAATTGAAGGGCTTTTAAAATCTTAATGATTATGTTAACGTTCATTTCATGTATGTAGTTTTGGAGACAATATTTCTACATTGAAAGGGCGATGCACATGGCAGGTCTCTTACATGGATTGGTGACTGCTCAACTAAGCTAACGTCCATAATGCCCCCCGGTTCTTTACTTCTTTGAATGGGAAGAGGTGAGCAGTTTCGTCAATTTTAATTTTCTTTTAGTGGAATTGTTAATTTTAAGTTCAATTATACATACAAGAACTAATTATGCAATATCTTTATTAAAGTAAAGCTAGCGGCTAGAAGACGTCCCACTACCGAAAGTGTTCAATGAAACGAACTTGGTACCAACAGGTTGCTCCATATTCTCTTCATATCCATCTTAGTATAATGATCAATCACTAATAAAAAAAACTAGTGTATATTACTATACTATATATAGTAGAGAGGAAGAGAGGTTCAGTTAAAAATACCCCTTTTGTCATGAGGAGAGATTTCCTCCTTGTCGCCCTATGTGAGCACAATCCCGCCACCCATCGCTCATAAAGTCAACGACACATAATTTTCACCACTCACACCCTCTCTCTCCCTATTTATGAGGCATGATAGGATTCGGTGGCCACATATGGCCGTCTAAAGAGGCGGAAATCGCCTCCCCTAATGACAAAGGATAACTCATTAATCTACTATAACGTGACGCGCCGTCAGTCTATCCCTCGACGAGGAAATATAGTAGCGCGCCTATCAGTACTATACCCTGATGCGATACTACTATATAGTACCCGCTTATACTACGTAATATAGTAGTATGACTCAATGAAATAGGTCTGTGTGACGTGAAATATAGTAGTATATATATATATTAAATGCGCCCACACTATGATATCCTTGATGTGTCCTGAGCCCGCCTGTCATTTTTGTCCTTGTGCATAAACGCTAAACAGCACAGGCAAAAGTTTGAATCAGCCATCTTTCTCCGTGCCAACTAAACAACTGGGAGAGGAAAAAAATCCCGAAAGCCACCAAAATGCCCCCACGTGGTAACCTGGTTTACCCACCTTATATCAGGTAATCCGCGGCTTACTCTCAACTCAAATCGCCCCCGGCCCCTCTGTCTCTCTCTCTAAGGTTAATAGGAAAACAAAAAATACCCCCAATTTCTCCCAAATCTAATCTAAGGTTTTGGCATTTTAGTAAAAAAAATGGCTGAAATCTCCATGACAAACCCTGATTACCCTAAATCTGGAATGAAAGATGGCAATTGTGATGTATTTGAAGTAGTTCACCACTCTCAGCAGCTGATGCATGATCAGGAACCATCGGCATTGGACATCGATTGATAACACTCACCTTCAAATAGTGTTAAAGATCCCTCTCATCGTCAAAGACCAACCATGGACCTTCTGCTCTCTCATTCCCCTCCATGTCTTCGTGCACCCATGCTTTATCATCAGGGAATAGCAGCATTGATGAAGCCACCCAGACCCTGTTGGGCATGCAAAGGGGTTACCACATAGAAAAAGGAAAAATTCAAGTTCAAAATAGGATGTAGAGAAATCTAGAAAGAAGTAAGTTCATGTTAAATTTTGTTAATTTTTTGGCAAAACTGTCTAATATGTTAAAAAAAATCTGAAACTATATTGGAAGAATTGTCTGATTTTTACTTGGAAAAACTCTAAAAAATTGTTGTATGGAAGGATAGACATGTGGTTTTGTTGGTGATTGTGAACTATGTGCTTGGATCTATGAAATTTAACATATGGATGCTACAAATGAATATTTGGTTGTTACATTTTGTCAAAACAAGTTAATGTTTCTAATTAACTATTAAGTCTGAAATTTGGTTGGTCATATTGGTATCTGATATCTGACTTGACACATTATTTGTTAAGTTTTATTGATCGATATCAATTTTAGTGAATAGTTGTTAAGGATTATAGCATAACTATTAAATTTTATTGTTGGTTGTTACTATTAGTTATTGGATGTTAAGTTTAGATAGATTGATGTTAAGTGATTTACATAAATTATTATAGAAAAAAGTGTGGTCATGCTGCAAAAACTAGGCTCGTTCTAGCGCCTATTATGACTTTATAAAAGTACTTGAACCAAGAATGAAGCAGTGGCACTGGGATGCATACGAGGGGTGTAACTTGGAGCATTACGTAATATTTGGCTCCCCAGCACTAGATCAATGCTTGAACTTGTTTTTAGTCACTATCTATGTAGGTGGTGAAGTTACGTCTGCCAAATGCCAACAGTGTGAAAGAAAAGATAGTTAGTTTTGATTAGGACTGGGTTCATGATGACACTATTTTCCCAATTGATGGGGGAAATAATTTACAGCAATATAGATCCTCACACTAGATTTGAAGGGAGTATTTTGCTGATCAATTTACTAGAAAGGAGAAAGATGAAGAAGCAACAAAGAATATGCGAAGATATGTGGAAGGATTACTTGAATCTCTTATTGAATCAAAAAAGAAGAAGGATATTGAGGACTTTGTGTTGCTACAAATTTTTTATCAATATTCAATGATTTAGTGCCCCAGCAGTGTGCAAGGCATCCCTAGGCTCTTTTTCGAGTATGTTGATTGCATTGATAGAGTGAAGAATGTGGCATGAGAGAAACTCATTTACGATCAGATCAAGAAAGATATTCAAATTGCTAGAGAAGGACTGAACAAACTAGGGGTTACGTATGTGCTTCAATGTATGCCTCTGATTCCTGTAAGTTATATTAATTTTTTTCGTGTTATCGTTAACTAATGTATGTGAATGTTTTAGTGTATTTTGTGAACTATAGTTGATGATTTTTAAGCTAAACTAGTTCATATTAAAGTAACTAGGTACATGTGAATCTTTTTATGTTTAGTGTTAACTATATTTGATGAATACTAATATTTACATGTTTATGTTAAATAAACTTGGTGCATCTTAAGATTTATGTGTGCAACTATAAATATTGCTTGCTAAATTTGAGTGATTCATATTAAACTTACACATCACATATGAATGTTTGCTTGTTTCATGTTAAATAGATAATTATTGCATGTTAACTGATA